GCCCCTGAAGCAGGAGATGCAGTGACCTCTGTTTCAACATGAATAATTGTAATTGTAGTTCCTGCCCTTCCAGTGATGCAAGTCTTCATTAGACCTGACTGGGGTCTGTAACCTCTGCTGGCTGCAGGTTCTCCCAGATGCCGGTGTGCTGTGTGAAGTGCTGTTTGTATTTCCTTCTATTCATGGTAACGTTACCTGCCGTGAATGATGCAATTATGTGCACAAGAAGAGATCACAGGGAGGTTCGAAGTCCAGGATGTAAAAAGAAGAGAGAGAAAAAGGGGGTGGGGGAGGAAAGAGTGCCAAAAATAGAGTTTCCAAGGCTGGAGGTCATTTGGGTGTGGGGCTTGAGACATCAGAGACACGCTGAGGCTTACACTAGAACCTCCAGGTGGGAGGGGAATATCCACTTGGTGCCTTTCACTTGCCTGTAACTATCTGTGTTTAAGCCATCACCACCCGCAGCTGAGTCCAGTGACTTCAGGGAAACCTGAAGTGAGCCTCTGGGGACTGGTGGAGTCCTGGTTGCTGCAGAAGGAACGGGAGGCAAGGACCATCACCAAAGGCGAGTACAGGGAGACATGAGGCTGAGCTCCTGCAGGTCTCGGGAGTGGTAGATGATATGGCTGTGGATGACGGCCATAAGTGGTGGCTTGGGATGTTCAGGGTGGCCACTGAGAGAAGCTTCTTCCCAGGAGGGTGGTGTAGCACTGGAACAGGTTACCCAGAGAGGTCAGGGACTTTCTGGCCTTGAAGGGTTTTAAGACTTGGCTAGACAAAGCCGTGGTTGATCTCAGCTAGTGTCGGCATCAGTCCTGCTTCTTACAGGAGATAGGACCAGAGTCACCCAGAAGTCCTTCCTAGCAGATACTTATGACTATGACTGTACTTACATTAAAATTGAATAAACATGCCCTTGTGTTGACTTAACCTTCCCAGTGAGCATGTTGATCTGGTTTTGTTGACATGCTCATTCCCAGAATCTGATTCTCACTAAATACAAGTGAAAATGGGAGGTGGCCTGCATGTTACCTGAAAAAACATGTGAGTTGGGTCTTTGGTTAGTTTTTGGTGCCATCCTTCAGGCTCAGTTGGCAGGCCTGCACAGCTCACCTCTGTGATGACACGGTGCCAAATGCCACCCCGTAGCAAGCTCTGTAGATGCAGTTGTTGGTATAAGACTTCTCCTTGTGATCAGGATCCTAATGGCCCTTCAGCACATATTTCTGCTGTGTCTTTGCACTTCAGCTTCTGCTGCAAGTAAAACAGGCTGCAGCTAGTGCGGGCTTGGGGAGTCCAGTGCCAGATGTTCATTCCCTCACCTCTTCTAAACCATGAGACGTAATAATGTGTTTCTGCTTGACTGCAGGCACAAAACAGGACTTTTGAGGGATTTGTGTGCACAACTGGAGATACTCCTTTCAGACCAGGGTTTAAAGCTCTGCCCAAGCTGCTCACAGCATGGAGCATGCTCCCCTCTCCTCTGATAACTGCCAGCCTTAACCAAACCTTCTCCCACTCCCGTGCCCTACCAAGACCCTTGTCTGGCAGCTGACAGCACAGCCCGTACCCACGGCTGGTCTAGAGAGGACCTGTCTGTGCTGTCAGGGCTAAGTATAAGTCCCATTTTCTTCTGGCCAGAGAGTTTGCTGTCTTTTTTACAAGGCACTGCTTCCTGCTACCTGGGATGGGCCACCAGAAACTCTGGACGTGCATTCCTGCATTGTCTCACAGGGGGATGAAGTAGCGGTTCTGGTCAGAGAAAACCCTCCTTGTACCCCTTCCTTCTGTCAGCGATGTGGGGAATGGTGAGCAATTAATTTGAAACTCTGCATAGTAAAATATAAATCCCCATAGACTGAGAAATTCTGGATAAGTGCCAGAAAGGGTTAACAAGGAAACATGTTCCCTCCAGTATAATTGTATATTTGGCTTATATTTTAATAAATGAGTAACAGCTGAGCAGAGAGGCCAAAAGGAGAGAGTCCCCCCACCCTGAGGTATGTTCAAGTCAGAGTTTGGGCTGCATGCGAGTCAGGTACTGTAGTGGGTGATTTGGCACAAAGCACTGAAGATTAACTATGAATTAGACATCTATGTAGACAGTGAGTAGCAATCAGAGCAAGTGTCTAATGCATGGGTGAAGGAGCTTTTTTAATGTTTAAATTTTCTTTTGAATTCCCAGAAGGAGCAAAGCCAGGCACTGTGGTGAAGCCTGGGGGGAGCTGGAGGCCTGGGGTGATAAATCAACAGCTCTGCAGTGAGATTTTAAGGGGGAAACTAGTGTAATATATGAGGCAACATGGAAAGAGGAGTTTTATTATTACTACAATCAGCTCTAAAAGGCTTCAGTTCACGATGGCTAAAGCAGGGGTAGATCAGGAACCCCCACTGGATGGGCCACAACATCTGACAATAGCAGAAGCAGCAGAGGGTTTACTCTGCATTTGAGAGTTTCACCTGGAGAAAGCTGTCTCCAAAGCAGGATACAATAGCTTGCAATTTGTGGGGAATTTCCTCTTTGTGAGGAAAGCTGGTGATGATCTTGGCCATTTTGGGTTTTCCCCATTCAGGAAACTTGTCATGTTCTTGCAGAACATTTCTGGGAAGGCTTTGGGATTAGTGTACCGTTCAAAAGCACTGCGTGGTTCTGGGTGATGGTGCTGTTGGCCTAATGCTGACGGGAATACTGGGCTTGATCAAGCCCCCTCACCTTAACAGCTCCACAGAGTGACAGCCCCAGGGATGGGCAGTGGTTTAGCAGCTGCTACACCATGATGGGGACTCCTGTTCCTCAGGGAGCAGCCTGAAGCTCTTAAACTTGTATTTGATAAATCAGCAAGCAGTGGCTAGGAAGCAGTATCTTTTAGAGCTCTCAGCCAGGGAAAGAGGTAAAATAAAGACCTAGTTCATGGAGGAATTTCTCCTGCAAGAGCGAGGGCTGTCGCGCATTGGCGCTGCCCAGCTCCACATCAAAGGCAGACTAACCCTCAGACAGCAACACTGATGCAGCACGACAGATTACTGGCAGGAGGGGCCTGTAGGTCTATTATGGGATTATTTTTTTAATTTGAAATGGTTAAGTAGAATTCTTGTTTGGGGAAATTTTGGCTGTACTTTGCTACAGCATTAGCCTTCTCTGTTGGGTTTCTTCTGCTAGAAATGTTTAGATTTATTTTTGTTTGTGTTCTGTCTTACACAGCTAAGAAAACAGTTTCAAATAGGACAAATTGTCTTGTTCCAGGGAGGAGGTCTGATCTGGAGAGTGAAAACAGCTTGCTACTTGGAGAGCCATCCACAAAAGAACAAAGCTCTAAGGACAGTTCCCTACACTGTGCCCCACAAGAGATATTATAGAGCCAAGATGTTGGCCCTGGGAAGCACTACTATGTGAGCGGCTTTTTTTCCTAGGATTTATGTGCCCCAGTGCCTGGTCCTCTGGGTGCTGTTTTTTGGGTCTGATGGGCAGGGAAGCAAGTGCCTGGGGTATTCCCTTCTCCTGCTTGTAAGAAAGGAGAACCATGTTAGTTCGTTTCACAGGCATGCTGGTGCACCTTTCTGATAGTTTTGCATGTCACTGGCAACATGAAAGGAAGAAATGCTCATGAAAGAGCCAATGTTCCTGCACGACATTAATGGAAAATCAGTTCTGGATGTACAGAAGTGTGAGTTTCTTGTGGCAGCTGGATGGAGAGTTACACTTAAATGCTTAGAAAAGTGAGATGACATTGTATGAAAATGAATCAGTGCTACTATTATTAAAATATCCCTGCTTGTAATGGCTGCTTTGGCAGACTGGTTGTAATGAAGAATTTTAAACTTGTTGTAGGATGTAAATCCATGTAGGAAGGAACTCTAAAAGAAACAGGAATTTTGCTGCTTGAAAGCCAGACTCTGTTTAGCCTAATTTCTAGCCAAAGAACCAAAGTGTGGATTCAACACTTTTAGGTTCTCAATTAAAAGGTCATCATCACATCATCAAGAGGTCCAGACTCACCACATCATCAGTCTGTTTTCCAGAAAAATTCACTCTTGTCCAAAGGACAACTGGCAATGCTTAAATGAGATGATAAAAGTGGTGTGACCTGAGCCAAAACCCATTTTGCTGTCAAGGCTTAAAAAAGAATTTTCATTAAGAAAGAAATGTTAGGAAATGGCAGCCATTGATAGGCAACTATGAGACTAAATTTGTGAAAATCTGTAGAAAGAGGAGCCGATGGAAATTATTCTTACATTTACACCTCAGGCAGTCACCCTGGGTTTATTATTACTTCTTGGGCTGCAAGCCTGAGCCTGATTTATTAACTACTGTCCCTTTCAGTTTCTTTTCCAGGGTGGTAAACCAGCTGTAAAAAGCTGAAAAGTAGTTAAGCTGCAGGTCTTGTCTTTTCAGCCTGTTTCTTGTATTCATTTTGGACTATAAACAAACATCTCTCAGGTCTTCTAAATAGATTTTCTGATCAAGTTCCCAGAACAGACCACCACCAGTCTAATGAAAGCTTATTTATGCTACTTTCATGCATGAATAAAAACGTTCACATTCACCACTGATTTTATTTAGTTAGATCCTGTGCCTCGTGATGGACATTGAATTGGAGTGACATTTCTGGCACTAAAAAAACCCAAAATAGTGTGACTGCGGAGAACACTCTGATGCCTGTATCTTTTGCAGTATGAGCAGGAAGGGGTTAACCTGTTCTTGGCTGTATGGTATTGATTGAGGCCCAGGAAAAGAAAATACAGCTGTAAATAGTTAGGAGTATTCTCTAGTAGCTGACTTTTTTTTTTTTTGATGTAGGGGATGTAAGCCATTGAACTGGGACTCTGGAGGTATGGTCTATTTCCCAGGGATGACACCTGCTTCATGTGTGATCAGAGGAGGAAGGTCACTGGTTGCTCTAGGTCTCAGCTCCCCAGCTGAGACTGTTGCTTTCTCCCTCCTCTGCTTTTTCCAACTTGCTTGTTTATATCGCTAGCTTTTCAGCAGAGTAACATCAACTCTGCCTGTGTGCTGAACACCACGGGTCCTGCTCTCAGCTGGGGCTTCTAGACACCACTACAAATAACAAATATGATTTTCCCTTTACGCTTGTCTCCTTCATCTCCATCCATGCTGCAGTGCCTATGAGGTAAGATTAACAGCTAAAATAGGAAAAAAAAAAAAGAATCGGTAAAGATTAAGAACAAGGGAATAAAGATCCAGTAGATATGAAAAGTTGTGAAATGGGTTTGGGTTTTTCTGGTCCTGCTAGCTGATGATCTCATGCAAAGGTGCTGCGTGTTGGGAGAAAAAGGATTTGAGCCTGTCCTTTAAGTCAAAAGGGTGAACAAAAGGCAGCTCTGTGTGTTTCCTTTGTGCTAAGCACATTGTGAATATTCTTAGGAATTGCCACAAGGATTAACATCTCTGTATTTTAATGTGCCTGGTGCTGGAATGTAGCTGGAAAGCAGAGCAGGCAGGAATGGTCTCTCCAGGCGGTGGGCACTGATAGGTGACTCTTTGAAGTGCTTTTCAATAGCTTTCTGTTATTTCCACCCCCCTACCCCCCCC